CATGGGCCCTAGGCGCCGGGCGCTGTCCGCGGTGCCCGCCGTCTTGCTGCTCCTCGCGTTACCCGGGCTGCCCGCCTGGGCGCAGAACGACACCGAGCCCATCGTGCTGGAGGGCAAGTGTCTGGTGGTGTGCGACTCGAACCCGGCCACGGACTCCAAGGGCTCCTCGTCCTCCCCTCTGGGGATATCGGTCCGGGCGGCCAACTCCAAGGTGGCCTTTTCGGCAGTGAGGAGCACCAACCACGAGCCATCGGAGATGAGCAACAAGACGCGGATCATTTACTTCGATCAGGTCAGTTCCAGAGGGGTGCAGGTTAGCGAAGGGCGCTCAGATCGGGGCTCATTGGGGTGCGGGGGATCATTTAGGCACAGGGCTCCCCAGATTCGAGTCTGAAACTTCTGACGCCCGCTCCCCCACCCCGGGATCCTTCGCTTGTGGCCTCTAACCAAGGCTCCGGCGCAGTGGTAGGGAGGATGGGAGCGCGGAGCCGGCAGCAGGAGCTCAGGACAAGTTGAGTAGCAACAGGTCCTCGGAAACTGAAGAGGATCTGGCCTGGACACCGCGATCGCTCGCCTGAGCTTGGGCCCCTGGCTCAGCGTCCTCCCTCGCAGGCGCAGGAAAATTTATTGGATTTGTTTCTCCAGGTGGAGAAGCTTCTTGCCAGAGAGCTCCAGGCTCGGTGGAGAGAGCGGGCAGGTGGCCTCAAGAGGACGGTGTGTGTGTGTGTGTGATATTTTACTTCCCGGTTCCCAGGCCAGGGTCCCCAAACACCTTCCCTGTGGGGTTGCTGCTTCCCGGAGTAAGCAGAAAGCCGGTCTCCAATACTCAGATAAAAGTTGCTTGCCAAGGGAGGAAAAGGAACTGGGCGACTGCGCTGAGCTCTAGAAGGAGAGCTCGGGAGGGAGCTGGTTTTTCAGAGAATTGCTCCTTGCTAGAAAGACAGACTCCGGGAAGGGAGGGAAGTGGGGGGGGTGGAGGCAGCCTGATGAAAGCTGCGGCTTCTGTTTATCGAAGCTGAGCTCTGCGGTTTTGGCGTGATGAGAAACCCCAGGACATCAGCTTAGCTGAGGAAATCTTTCTGGGGAAGACAGCTGACTTTAGAGTTTGAATTCCAAGCCTAGCTGAACCCAGAGTCTTTCAAATTCCTCAGTCACAGCGCACAGTTAGTTGTTCAGGAGGAACTTAGCGCAGGGGCCCAGGTCCAGCGGTGCCGCTGGATGGAGCAGAGGAGCAGTGAGGTGACGCTTGTGTTCCTTTCTCAGTTTTCCGAAGTGAGGTGCTCTGCAGCCATAATTTTAAACAGACCGAGTAGCCCCTTTGAGATGTTGGTACAGTATTTTCCAATGATGGAAATCAAGTCTAGCACCGCCCCCGGTTGTGCATTAATTACATGTTGGGATACTGTGGGCATTGCACCGGCATCTGTATGGGGCGTTCTTTTCAGTGACCTTCCTGTCAATTAGAAGAGGAGAAGGGTGTGTTCTGCTGTTCTGGAGAGATGCATCTTCAGAGATAACCAGATGCTTTTAGTTGTACATCTTGGTGCACCTGGATGTTCCAGTTACAATGTAGAGTCAACATCCAGCTTTACGTGTAGCCAACGGCATCAGCCATTTCCACTATTGCTAATGAATTACGCCACTTGTATCCGAGTCAGAAGCCCCTGCTGAACACCTGGAATTATTTTAAATGTGTTGGGAAGAAAAGTCCTCTGTAAACCCTCTGTTGGGGATTGTTGCTCAGCTGGTGTCTTGTTTTTGAAAGACTGTTCATCATTGGGTCAGAGAAAAGAAATTTGATGCCTACTGGGAAGACGGTGGAATCTCCATAAAACCACACACATGCATGTATTTTAAGGCAAATATGAAGTCTGGTACACCTACCTGGTAGTGCATAGTGGTCAGAGGTAATACTTTTAGGGAATTATGCAAGAGGCATAAAGATGTATTAAGTTTGACAAGAAGCCGATGTTTAAAACAGATAGTGGCAGATTGACACTGATATAAAGGAAAATTATCTTTATAGGGACATCTGATTTGTTTAATGCTACTTACAGATTTATTTCTTGGACAGACATGAAAAAATCTCTTGTTATTTTTCTGCTCCCCTTCTCTCTTTCTTTTTCTTAGGGAGGGGCTTATCTATGTGACTTTGCAAATTTAGCTTAAGAGGTTACTTATTTCAGAGTTAATTTCATAACCAGAAGAAATAACATGAACATTTTGGAATACAAAGCATATAGTTTCTTGGAAACAACACCTAATTTTGATCCTTGAACTTTAAATACACAGCAGGTGATTGAAAGAGGGTAATGTGTAATCCTGAGAGGGACACCAAAAGGCCGCCTGTTTCACTCTCTTCATGCTTCACTTTTTGGCAGCCTGCAAGGGCTGACTCATAGCCAAAGTATTATAATTAGGCTTAGAAGGCACAGACATACAAAAAAAAAGTGGTCCTGGATCTTAGGAGAGCACTGGCAGAATCCCCGAGAAGGGCAAGGCACTCATGTGACTCTGTGGCACGGATCATGTGGCACGGTGGAGGGGCAGCCAGTGTGTGGAGGGGCACACAGTGTGTGGAGGGGCACACAGGGTTGTGATGTGTCCAGGGATGACTACGGAGATCTGCTGACACCCATTGGCTGGCTTGGCGACGTCACTGCGGGACATTCTCACGGCCCGTGGGCAGTGGGGATGTTAACTCATGGCAGGTGCCTTTGTCTGATTCACAAAGTAAAGCTAATATTATAAGCCTTCACGTGTTACCTAGGTATTTCCAGCGTCATCCGCCTTGCTGGAAATTAAGGCATGAATACAGAGCAGTTATTTTATTTTTTCCTACACCACTTAAAAGATGGAAGAATCTTGCAATAAACAAGTCCATTTTCCAAGTCATTTAAGAGCAAAGAAATGGAATGAGTTGTTTTATTTTCTGTGGTTTCTGAAGTTAGTTGTTGAGGAAGGAAGGAAGGAAGGGAAGAAAGGAAATATTTTACTTACAGAAGAAAACACTGTAATAATTTATTGTTATTTATTGTTTTTATTTGTAGATCCTAGTTAATGTGGGTAATTTCTTCACATTAGAGTCTGTCTTTGTAGCACCACGGAAAGGAATCTACAGTTTCAGTTTTCATGTAATTAAAGTCTACCAGAGCCAAACAATCCAGGTATGTGTTTTGACCCATTGTCTCTGCTCCCAAGCAACTGTATTTATGTTTAGTGGGTTATATATTTAAGTGTTTATTCAGAATGCATTTTCATTGTGAAAATAAATAGCCATCTTTGTAGTTTATGTTTTAAAACGCTTAATTCCCAGTTTTCTTCTCTATAACATCCATTAACGTGTGATTAAAAAGCATGTAGGAAAACAAACAATTGAATTCACGGCATTAATAATGATCAAACATTTAAAACGCATGATTTGGTAGAAATTCGGGGGCACAAATCTCTTCCCACAATCTTGTTTTCATCTAAGGCATGTTACAACAATTACTTGTACTTTGAAGGGGGAAAACCCATAAAATGAGCAGAGTTTCCAAGTACATATTAAAACAAATTTACTATCATTTAAAGCTATGAAATACATTTAGCTATCAACATAAAATATGAAGGAACAACTCTTCACCATGTGCTTGTTGAAAAGGATGTGCCGTGCTTATGTTTCAGTTTGTCCCCGACTCCTTGGTGGTTGGCGAGTTCTCAGCAGTTGCAGTTATATATTCAGTAACACATCGTGTTTTGCACCTTCTAACATAATGAGCTTGACCTCCGACTAAAAGGCAACAACTGAGCAGTTTTCTATACCACTCAAATATACTAACACTGAACCATGGTCATGTGTGTCTGTGGAATTCTAGGGTGGGATTTTATCTCATGCTCAGTATTTATATCCTGTTCAGCTGCACGATAGATTACCTCCTCTTCCACCAGTTTAACACATCCTAGTGAGTGGATAAATTGACTGGTCTCAGATTTAGCCCATTTAGTGCTACGTTTAACCGAAAGGGAGTGAATATTTAGTAAACAAATTGGCTTCCAGGCAGAAACTTTCTCCAAACTCCTATATTTGCAACTACATGTTTGCCAGTGTAATGGGAATTATAGTATAGAAAAAAGGGTAACAGAAATTCAAGTTGATCCTTTGCTAATTTTCCATCCTTAAGATCTCCAGTGGCAGTGGTGAATACTTTTAATGTGTATTTCTTTTCAGAGAAAGCAGAGAAAAATGAGCACACACACACACACACACACACGTTTATGCACGTTCATTTCAAACATTTTTCCTCCCTATGCCGGTTACGGCTGCACAGACTCCTGAAAGCATTGGCAGAGTCTGGTTGTATTAGTTACCAGGTCAGTGAGTGCTGGGAGGCCCACTTCATCACCAGAAGGTCACTGTTGAGTAGAAGAGATAAATACATAGCAAGCTTTATTTATATGCTAAAGGGAAGCTAATTTTCACATGACTAGGTTGCTCTATTGATGCTCACTTTTTGGTAGGAATTTAAGAAAATTTCTACAGGAGAAACTAAAAAAAAAAAAAATCAACTCAGTAGACAGTGTCTTAAGTCTGACCCCACGGTTGGCTACTTTAAAAGGAAAGAGTTTTTTTTTTCTGGACATCAGATATTTTCCCAGATACACTATCTTATACATTATTTATGACGCCCAGTATGGGGTTGAATGTTAAAGGGAGCTTTTCCATGATTTTTATTTTTATTTTTATTGTTCTAGGTTAACTTGATGCTAAATGGAAAACCAGTGATATCTGCATTTGCCGGGGACAAAGATGTTACACGTGAAGCTGCTACCAATGGGGTCCTGCTTTACCTGGACAAAGAGGATAAGGTTTACCTAAAACTTGAGAAAGGTAACTTGGTTGGAGGCTGGCAGTATTCCACATTCTCCGGCTTTCTGGTGTTCCCCCTATAGAATGTGATTTCTCCATGGTGTTTATCCAGGTGAGGGGCAGCCGACCCCCGAGTTACTGGAAGATCAGTCATATTTTCATCATTGGATTGATGTCTCTTATTCGTTTCTCATGGGCGAATGTGGATTCTCTTTAAGGATTCTAGACCTGTCTGAACCCACACAAAGTTTCACCGATCATTTTCGCGTGTATGCATTTCGGTATATTTGGATTGGGACTCACAGCAGATAATACCTATCTGTGCTTAAACCTAACAGTCAAAAGTGGTCTCCAGGTGTGTTCTGACTTTAATTTCTTGGGATTACTGAATTCATTGCAGATGTGGGATTTTATTTATTTATCTTCCGAAAGACTGGCAGCCGGGTCTGAGAATCAGAAAACTAAAGTTCTGACTTCAGTCAGTGTGTGATACTGCCAAAGAACCGTGTGCTGTGTCGATATATTGGCTACGCTTGTTTTTATTGCTTTGGAATTCGTTTGTTTTGTTCTCTTCAGGCAACTGGGAATTACTTCTCAGTGGCTGGCACTGTGTATTCGCTAGAAATAAGGTAATGAATGGCTTGTCTGAAAATTTACCTTGACTATGAGGTTGCCAACATGATTTCCCTAAAATAAGAAAGAGAAAGAAGAATACTCCATAGTTGTATTTTAATTATCTATGTGAAAGAGTCATATTTTCCAAATTATATTTTCTAATAGGATGAGTAGATCATACATCTGACAAGGAAAAAGTTGCTTACTTGAATTCTAAGTGTTCGATCCCCAAACCTTGACAAAACATCTCTCCCCTGTGGAAAATCTTGTAGTTTATTGCTCATCTTTAATTAACATGATTGATAATGACCGCTTTATTAAAAGCCTAAGAGATTTTTTTCCCCCTTAGACATGACTAGTTTATTAACTGGAAATGGGATACCCTTGATTTTAATTATACCTATTTTTCAAGCCTTCTGTTGTGTTTGGAGCATCATCTGGTTTTGCCTTAACTCCTCCAATTGTATATATTTATCTGTTCAACTAATATTAAATCCAGATATCCCATACCTAAATTTAGTGCAATATCTTATTTTGTCTTTTGTATAGGTCATACAAATTCATAAAGTTATTTATGTCTCTGTTATAGAATAAAGATTAATATATGTTAGTTGAATTGTTTTGTCTTTTCAGTTTTGGAAGAATGTGTTCTCTCCATAGCTTATCTTCCTTCCCTCTCTTCCTGTCTCTCCCTTCCTTGTTTTCCTTCCCTCCTTCTCTTCCTGCCCCTCTCCCTTCCCTCCTTCCTTCCTCTTATTTTCTGCAGTTTAAGAAAATCTTTTTGAAATTCCAGGTAATGTCCTTTAAACTGGTATAGGAAATCTTTACAGGGTTTAATCTGTCCAAATCCAGGAGTTGCAAGCTTGACAAAAGAGAATCAATGAACTTATTAAACCCTTCTTTCAGAAGGACTGACTGTAAGAAGGTTAGGTTTAGAAAGATCCCCTAAAATATCATGAGAGTGCTTAATGTGTGAATGAATGGTCCTGAGTATAAATACTGATATTTTACAACTGAAGACCTGGGGAGAGGCTCTGTCCTGTTCTTCTCACTGAGATGCAGAAGACCATAGGCTTCTTTTAAGGAGGAGCTGTTCTTACATGTGTGTTGCCTGGGAATTTCAGCTCTATTTTGTGGTCTGTAGTCAGTTAAAACAACTGGGGGCAGGGCAGAGGCCCTTTTTTAGCTGGAAATGGGAGCAAGGAAAATGTTATAGGGGCACTCACTCATGATTTCCAGTATGGTTGTGATTAATCTCCAAGTCAAAATACTCACTCATCTCCTCTTTCCTCAGCAAGCATTATCTGGAGATGTTGGCAACAGATCCTTGATGCAGGTCACCTCCAGCTGGCTTTCAATCAATGATATTGAATTTATAAGATAGACAAAAAAAAAAAAAAAAAAAAAAAAAAACAAACCCAGGATTGCACAATAAAAGAGATGTTCCTTTAAGAAAGTAGACTTCTCGATAAATTTATGTGCTTTTCTGTCTGTACATCTCTCCAGGGTGAATCATACTCTAACCTACTGCTTGTCATTGACTTGACAAAGTGGAGCAAGAGTATTGGAATTGCCAGTTGACCCTTATGATGGGCCAGAGAAAAATGATTATCAAAAGAGACCCATGTAGAAATGCCTTTCATAAGCATGCTGTGACAGTCTTCAGGGGCTTTCCTTTATTTTTCTTGATTCTTCTGAACATAAAGGAATATTGGCCAAGAACTTGACTCTGATCCATAACCTCTAGTGTACACGTTTTGGAATACAACATCTGCTTGAAAGTTTCAAAAAGAAGTCTGTTTAAAAACAGTGTAGAGGGGAGGTAAGAGAGCCTTCTGGGAAGTAAGAGCTACTTCCTGAAGCACACTGGCCGGAAAGACAAGGGTGACACGAGCGAGGAAGGGCAGCAGGACAGAGTGGTATGGTCAGAGTTTGCATTTTGGGTGGGTGTTGGTTAGAGTCTAGTCACCTGTATTTGCCATTCTGTAAACTTGGGCAGGTTCTGTCACCACTCCGACCTTTAATCGTTTTATTTCTAGACAAGCAAAATTTAGTTGTGAGGATTAAATAAAGCACGGAGGTGCCTAGAGCACAGTAGGTGTTCAACCAAGATCCCTACTGTGATTACTAAAACTCAAAGCCCTAACATACAAAGCAGCAAGTAGGACTGTGAGACGAGAGGAGATTCAGATCTGCAGGAAGGAAATTGGGTTGGAGTGGGACAGGGTGAAGAGCAGGAGGCTGTGGTGTTTTTTTTTTTTTTTTCCTGAAATGGAGTCAGAAGCTCCCTGTGTGTCCTGTGACCTGAAAACTGTTTTCAGAAATTGCTAGGTCCACAAAAATGCTAATCGAACATAGAATTTGCATTGGCCCTGTCTGCATTCATCAGTGCCAGCGCCCCATCCTAGATGATTCCTATCTCCTTCCTTTGAGAACTGCTCCTTGATCTATTGATCTGCAAATGCTAGCAGCTGTCTGCAGCGGGCAGTTTCCTCCAGACAGGAACTCAGGTAAACACAACAAGGGAAGGAAAGAGAGCAGGATGTGTACAGAGTCCCACAGGTCCTCATTGCTTTTGTTCTCTGTGATCCCAGTTTCCATTAGATGTCATCATCTAATTACAGTTTTTAGAAGTCTTTTAAAAACTATTTTTGGAGTTCAGTTTGTGTTCCCCCTTTTCTTTTAGTTTCTAGCAACCTGGGTACCTTTAGCTTCTCCCTTTTAGCAAGTTATTGCTTCGAATTTTGAAATATATATCTTCAGCAGACATCAGCTAAATGATGCGCTGAGTCTATGAGTGGTGACTTCTCCCTCTTCCAGATCTCTCTAAATACCAAACAAAGCCAGAATCTTCACAAGGAGCAACATCTGTCTAAAGGTTTGGCCCACCCTGCCTTCCTACCTAGGGCACTAGGCTTTGTAATCTACCTTGACTATAGGAACCCACTGTCCCCACTGGGTGTGAGAATAGAGCAAAGTGACAGCTGTCCACATTCTGGGCCTTGGAGCTAGCAATTTAAACTCTTAGGCTAAATAAATTTCTTAGGTAGCGAGGGGTAGGGGCTTTAAGAAGTTGCCTTCTAAATATGTTGGTTACTCTCTCTTCTCTAATATAGGCCTGGCCTTTCACATGGATTTCAGGTATCTTAGAACCAAAATGATCATTTTGCTCTTTGGGCCTCTGACCTTTCAGATAGAATAATAACTTCTTTATGACTTTGACCCTGAAGTTTCATTCTCAAATATATGCCTAAGAGTCACCTGGAAATCTTGGTAAAATGCACACCCTTCTGCAGCACAGCTGGGGCGTGGGGAGGCAGGCTCTGCTTTTCTGTCCAGCTCCTGGTGACATGGATGCCCCTGGCCACATTATAGATTCTGTGGCAAAGTCTACTCAGGGTACGTCTGTGTCCTCCAGTGTTTGTGCATGTGCTGGGGCTTTCTGGAAACCCCTGTGGAGCCAAGACTCCCCGTAGACCCATTGATTTGAAATCGCATTTTGGAAAGATTCCTGCCCCTCTCACGGTTTTCAGGCACCATTACATTTCATGGAGCCCTAACCTGAAGTAAATCCCAAAGATCAGCTCCACAGGAATGGCCTGGGCTAGGCTTCTGGCAGCTGCAGTCTAGCACAGTCCCCAGGGATGCTCACAGCCATGCCGAACAGTGTAGGGCTTGTGCTTGTAGGGTCCAGGATGGTGAGTGGAGATGTGAGTCAGCATGGCGCCCTCATTCTGGGGTCAGGGACTCTTCCCACAGGCATGGAGCAAGTGCTGCAGGAAGACTTCGTCTCCAGGAGAGATGTGGGGACCCTCACCTGAAGGCAAAGGTAAGTCAGCCACCGAAAGTGATTGTCGGGCGAAGAAAGCTAGCCCTGGATGCTCCTCATACCTTCAGCCTTCCATCAGAATGGTGGATGTAGTCACTTCTTGCTTTTGTTTCTAACTAAAGTACCCCTCCTCCAGGGAGAGGAGTACACGAGGCACCTCGTCTCAGAAGACAGTGGTCTGGGAGTAAAGGGCACACATGTGCATGGCTGTGTGTGTGTGTGTGTGTGTGTGTGTGTGTGTGAGAGAGAGAGAGAGAGAGAGAGAGAGAGAGAGAGAGAGAGGAGGCGGAACAGATGAATCAATGACACCAGTCCTTTCTGGATAGCCAGTCTCTGTATTTAAAGTTTATGCAAAGGCAGTAGGCTTTCTGACTATATTGTAGGTCCATTTACTGATATTTATGAGGAAATACATTGTTGTATGCACTGCGTCTCGGAGGTCTTTATTTCCCATGCAGCTGCTTTGAGAACATAAACTTGAACTTTCTAAGAACTGGGAATTTCGAGGAAATCCTAGCAGCTAGTGGTCTGACGGTTCTCAGGGAAACTGAGGTTCCATATCTCTTCTTCCCCCATGATTTTGGGGACGGAAGCAAGCATGTTTATTTTTCTGTTTTCTCTCTTGCTCTCTGCTGTTTTTCTGTTTTTGGTCATGCTGAAGATTCGATGTCTTAATTTTTTATTTTATTTTTTGGGGGGGTACTGGGGATTGAACTCTGGTCCTTGCACTTGCAAGGCAGGCCACCGAACCGCTGAGCTAAATCCCTGGCCTGATGTCTTAATTAATAAGAGGAGGAAAATGTAGGGGAATGAATGCAGGATGCATGAATGTCTCCACATTGCTAGTTTTTACTCCTCACAATAAGAGAAAGCAAGCGTGGCTTGGCATGACCTTTCCATTCTGCAGAATCACTTCCTTGCTGTTTTTCAGAAGTCCCAGAAAAGAGGTGCTAGAAAAGCAAGCAGGAGGCAGGGGTCTCTTTGGAGCAGGCGGACAGCGAGGCCTGAGTGCCCAGTGGTTGAGAACGCTGACTTGGAGAGAGGGCGTGAGGGTGGAAATGACCTTGTAGTGACGAGGTCATGTGCTCCAGGCCTGGTGTCACCACACGGAGCGCTGCTGCCATTGGCCAGCCTTTGAACAAATGAATCTGTACCATGTGCTTAGGTCAGAAAATATCTCCTGCCCCTGATTATATAATAAAATACCTCTGCTGTCCTCTCCATTGCTGGACCATTGCCCTGTTTAACCAAAAGTGAGGGCCAACCCGAACAGTTCAGTTGTCAAGACGGAGCTAGAGGTTTTGATAACTTTCTGTGTTTTCCTTTGTGAGCTGCATGGGATTGTTTTTGTCCAAGTTCCTTCTCCTTGGCTATTTAAAAGCATATGAACAGTCACAAGTGTTTCTTTTAAAATAACTTAGCTTTTACTTTGAGTATTAGCGTTTTTAACACCACAGTGAAAAAAGTGATGATTTTTTCCCCCCATGTGAAAAAAAAAAAAATAATGGAGCAAACGCTAACATAACAAGCATTCGATCAAAAAGTAGTGTTCATGGATAGATAGCAACTCCCCCGGAGGACTAGGGAGAAACTGACTGATAAAACGTGGTTGCTGCGTGACATGACGATGGCGTGGAAGAGTGGGAGTGGCCGTGCTTTGCTGCAGGTGTCCCTTTCTCCCGCTGCTCTCCGTCGTCAGAGCGCTAAGGTCAGCGCTTCGCAGGCAAAAGGACGCCGTGTTGCCAGCACAGGTCTCGGCTCCTGTGGGGCGGCTTTGCGAACCACGGGCGGCATCGGGAAGGGTACTC